AGGTGTGAGTAAGGGAAGATGGCGTGAGCCTCCTGGACACACGCCCGCGCATCCTCCACCTTCCCCATGGCCAGGTACACATCAGCTGGACAGACAGGGGACATCATTCATCAATAGAAACCACGGGGGGTAGCAATGATAAAAAAAAAATGTATGAAAGTGGGAAAGTCATAATGGTGATCTCAGGATCAGTGACTGCAGATATGTTGTAAATACAAACTTGAAACAATAATTATTCAATTAGGCCACACCAATTTAATTTCTTGGTTAACGGATCTTTCTAGAAAAATAATGGAGCGGGCGGGCGAAAAAAATAAAAAATAAAAACAGGCCTAGGCATCCTATTATGGCCCAAAATGGTACGATAGGAGACATGAAGTCAACACACCAGGCTGGTTCAAAATTTAAACAATGAATTTTGAACTTTTAATGATACCATTGCATTGAAAGACGAAGTAACTGTAACAAGTAGGATGAAAAGGACTGTTTTCAACTGTTCAGGGCAAAATATGAGCATTTTGCAGTTGATTCTGAATTTTTATTTTTATTTGCAAATCAGAAAAAAATGGAGCGGGCGAATCCGTTAACCAAGAAATTAAATTGGTGTGGCCTTAGTTTGGTATAAAACTGCATCTCTCTCTCCATTTCAGTAAATACTTATTTATCATATTATTAAGTGACGTTAATCTAATTACTACATGACATCTGTGCAAGATTCGCATAAAACAGTTTTCAAATATAGACCCTTTCCAGTTTAGGATTGTATGGAAGAGTACATTCTGTAGAAATCTACATTTTAAACAACCATCTTCCGCATTGACCTGAACACTGGCTGAAGAATGTCATTATTAGATGAAAAATTTTCTCAAAGTGGAAGAAAAACAATGATGCAGACTGTTAAAAGTATGGTTGCCTTTTTAATACTTCAGTACCAAACAGCATGCATGGATGGCACTGCTGATGAGACACCTTTTCTCTGACACAGTGACAGTCTTAATCACACACATGGGTGCTACCATCTGTGTCAATGATTGTAATAGACCATACATTACTTGCAGCCATCAAAACAACTTCAATGCAACATTTTTCTAAAGAAAACTTTCTGCAACAATTTTTCTTTAAAAATAAAGGAGGAAAACTTCACCTTTCAGACAGAAAGTGCCCTTTGGCAGAATACAATAAGTGCATTGCAGAAACACAAACAGACACACAGACAGACAAACCAAAAACAATACTTGGGTGAAGAAATAGTGCAATAGAATGGATGAGAGTTCTTTATCATACATGTATGTACAGATAAAATGTTTCCTCACCGATGTTGAGCCATATATGCACCTGCATGGCCCATGCCTGTTGTGGGCCAGGTTTGGGAGTGTAACTGTTCAGGGAGGAGGCCACCTCAGACAGGGCCTTCTCTACCTTAGAGGCTGCGATGGAGTCTGCATAAACTGAACCTGTGTATCCATAAGATACAACAGGCACAATAAAGTTAACACAATTTTTTTTACGTACATGTACATGTATCTATTAGTGATCATGGCAATTTTAGAAACTGGTTTTTGAAGTACATAGTAGCATGAGTTTTAATCTATTACAATATTCATCTGCCCACTTTATTACTTCCTGGGTACAAAAGTATTATTTTGGGTGGCTTGCTGGTAAGGCTGTATGTTTCCTGTGCCAATGGCTGCATGGAGGGCTAGGGTGGTTTTTACATATAGAATACAACACGGGGTATTTCGTATCGCCCGAGGTATCGGCCCGACCGCGGGTCGGATCGCCCGACGGCCGCAGGCCGTCGGGCGATCCGACTCGCGGGAGGGCCGGGACCGAGGGCGATGCGGAATACACCGTGTTGTATTTTATTTATATCATACCCACCCAAGAAAACGCGCCTTTCAATGCGAGATGAGCCAAAAGTTGGTGCCACTGAACCCTAAAATGCAACAACATCAATTCCAACGTGCGGATTCTGTATTCGAATTTTCGAAAGGGGCACACGCGGTTAGGGCGAAATGCGTTCGAATCGTTTTATGGAAGCCAGGGAAGCGTTCGATAACGGGTTCCGGACCGGGTCGTACCGTAAAGTACGGCCCGGTCCGGAACCCGTTATCGAACGTTATCGCGGCCCGGGTATGATATAAAGTTGATTACATGTACATGTAGATAAGTAAAGTAATTATAGGTTGTAGCTAAGGACATTATACACAGAATAATGTCCTTGTTATAGGTAACCAGCACGTGCAACAGGAAGTTCTCAGAAGTCTAAAATCTCTTATTTCTTTATTTCTTACAAAAATCCAAGAACTATGAAATTTCAAATTGAATTGGTGCAGCCTAAGGTTAACTAACCCCCATGTCTGTGAAAATGTGGCAAGAAAAAGGTAACAAAAAGATTGATACTGACGTGTGTGAGTAAATTACTGAACTAGACTTATCAATAAGTGAATGTTCCATATGACAACTCATAACCACACATTTCCAGAACACAGAAATGGGAAAACAAGATTTGAAGTAAAATCCTGCTATGTGTTCTATCAAAGTGAAAATAAGAGTGAAAAATAAAAGCAGACCCTAACCCAGTAATACCTGTGTCAGTTAAGTGCAGACCTGAGTCTCCGTCACTGAACTCCGTAATGTGGATCTGGGCCAGACTGCGCTTGTCTGCCATCACCTTGTCAATCAAACCACTGCCTCTCCTACGCTCCTCCCTAACATTAACAACAAAGAATGGACATCATGTTATTGCAAGGTATTACTTTGTTGGACATTCAGTACCCAATGTACACTGTTGGTCCACCAGTCTGGTGCACAGGTACAAGGAAGCTTGTGCAAGTAAAACCAGACATTTGCAAACAGAAACAAAAAGGGTTGGAGAGTTACAATTTGTGGACCTTCCAATCCCAAATCTTGTCTGCTAATGTAGCTATAGTAATTTATCGCTTTCTGTCAGGCCTACCAAACTTTGGTGTGGTTAAGCCCTAACCTTATACAACATTCAAGTACAGTGTGTAATACATTTGCATGATGGGAAATCCCCAGTATCTTCCCAGCCATTTCCCCTTGTCAAGCTCAGTTCTCTTTAGTAAATATACTGTCTCCAATGTACAAAATTCTTAACATTCTGTCTAGCAATGATCAATCAACAACTGAATGTGCCCCCCTTAGCTCTCTTGACCATAAAGAATCACAGTAATCATGGATACATAAGATAAACTTGCATGTTTCCTACAAATTTGGTTTTGTTTCAATGGATATTCAATAACAGTGACTGAAGTACCACCCTTCAGGAAACATCCGGATGACGCACAAGTCACAAGTCTTACACAAACAATGATATAATTGTACATTTCATGAACCTCGCCCACTAAACAATTACCAATCTGAAACAATTGTAAAGTCCCCATATGTTATATGTACACTTTGTGCAAGTTACTAATACTGTATAAATTGGGTCTTCAAATTATTACCATTCACTTATTACGGGTAACCGATATTTCAAAATTTAAAATCTTTTGTATCAAGTAATGTCTTACAAATGTAACGTTATGTATTGACCTAACTACACCTACAAATGTAACTATGTAACTGTTGAACTTTATTTGCATAAACTGATATAAAGGAACACCCATTCATTTCCTGGTGTTCATTATACTGGCTTGCACTACAGTTGCACTGCTGTGGTATAGTATTGGGTTGGAAATTTGATGGTTTTATGACATTGATAATGTCAGACCACCCTGTTGCCTGTGCTGTTCCCCCTCAAAACCTCCAGCCAACGTTGACCGGAGAATGGCCTGAGGCTGTTGTTTTACTTCTGACTGCCATGCTGGCGATACAGCAGCTACGTTTCCTGTTCATGGTGAGGCATGTCTTTCTTCAAGTGGAGCTAGTCTGAAATACTTGGTTTCATTCCTTGTGAGTGGCCATGTGAACAAATGTCTTCTTAAACTTCTATATGCCTACAAAAAAAGTAAGACTTTCTAAAATGTTTTCAGTGAATATCAACAGGTTGACGGAAAAATTGCTATATTAAGCAAGTACATGTTATATCATAATTTTATGTAACGTTACACTCAGGTTTTTAAATAAAAAAATACAAAGTTCGAAGTGGGGTGCACTAATTGTAAGTGACAATTATTCAAAGCTTTGGGTAAAAATCACTAGTAATTACATCAACTCTGGAGATATACAATGTATTACCTGTCCAAGTGAAAATACATGTCATTACATGGTATCTTATCTGTGCAGCAGTGGTGTTTAATGCATGGTAATTAAATTACAATAAATGGCATCATGGCATATGAACTATAATCAAAGACAAATTGTACAATCAAACATTGTCCAAGGTGTTATCTAGACAATGGGTCAAAGTCTACATTGTGATATTGCTCTTTTGATCATGTCCTCTTTGGCTTTACACATGCCAGAAGCCATCATGGGCCTCCTGCTGAGGTATTGTACCAGCACTATGGAGCTATTGTGGCAGATTTTTGTGATATTGCCAACAACCTGTCATATGGCCATACAACTCTTTACACAGGGAAAAAAGCTGTCGCAGGTGATATTGCTGCCAATATCACAAGAAATCTAACTTGTGGGCCTTGACATGTCTCATGACATGTTCCACAAAACTGCACACTGCACTTTGTGCTTAAAGTATTTTTTCTACTCAATATCAATATCCTCTCAATATCAAAATAGTTTTTTCAAGGATAAGTACATTGAATGTTTGTGCAATCATTACTAGATATGTCAAATGATTCAGTTTCAGTTCTATGAATAAGCATACATTTTATGTCAGTGTCTATTTAATATTTTTAAACAGTGTTAATTCAAGTTTGGTGAATTTCTAATTTTTTTCAGGAAAGGCTACAGCCAAAACAGTCCAATGGAGTTGAAACCACAACTACAACAACAACAACAATTCACGGAAATGACAACATAAACATCAACGCAGGGAACAACAGTACAGTTGTTGTCACAACATCAACAACAAAGTCGCATCATAATATGTGGCAAGAAGAAGAGAACATGTTTTTCTCTCTTGTGCAAAGGCCTGTTGGCAAGTTTCCTAGACTGAACACAAAAACTCAAGTCACCTGTCGAAAGTACATTGACAACCTGGCCCAGCTGTCAGCAGAAGGAAAGATTTACAAGTGTCACAGGACCATTGAAAGGTTGCGCAAAGTCAAGACGGACCCTGACTCCCAAGTGTCACTTCGCCACGCAGCTGCCCTCAATGCTATCAACGAGGGAAACTTTGAGAGAGCAAGCCGTCTGCTTGGGGAGGTAGAGGTCCTCCTACCGGATACAAGAAACGAGGATGAACACAGGCTGCGCTGGTACCACCAGAAGTCCTTGCTGAAGTTACAGCAAGGAAAGCATGCTGCTGGGATACAGTTAACTGAAGAGGCGCTATCATTGGTGTCAATCATGGCACCGGGATGTATCTCAGCCTGGCTCCTCATCAACCATGCCTGGTTCCTCACCAAGATCGCAGCAGATGAAGACGACGTAAACGATAGACAGGTCCTCGTGAAGAGGGCGGAAAAGTTTTACCAACAAGCGATGGACCACGCAGAGAGTGAATACCCAACACAGATGCTGTACTTCCAGTCACGTGTGCCTCAATATGCAAAAATTGGTCTCGCCTTCTTGTATCTTGGGTGTTGGCAGTCTGTTGACAATTGCAGGATTGGAATCTCTACTGATTTGTCATGGGATGATATCAGGAAAGCCAAGGACATTGTTGAAGAAGTACAGAGTGAGGGATCAGTGTGTAATAAGTCAAAGGTTTTGTTACTGGTAGTCAAAGCATGTCTCCAGTATAGACTTGGTAGTTACTATGAAGCATATGACCTAGCAGAAGAAGCCAAGAAGTTGGCTGCTGAACATTCTTTTTGGAACTTGCAGAAGTTTGCTGACAGTATTTGCAAATTCTTGAGCATGAATTGTTTGTGAATCAAATAGATTACATGTACATTTATGATGGTACAATGTACATGTGTATATTGTCTATTGTCTCTTCAGTACTAGTTATTCCAAAAACAGCTAAGTTTAGGAAAAAAAGGCAACTTACAAGTACATTGTAAACATTAACAGCATTATACAGTAAAATTCTGTCTTTAATATTTTAGACCACATCAGTTCTGTCTTTAATACTATATACTGCACCAGTTGTCTTTAATACTTAATACTGCATTAAGCCTACATTACTGCATAGAGAACTAGAGGTCGGAGATCTCATGTCTTCGTCAGAGGTACATCGTTCTAGAGAAATTAACATGCGTATTCTTCACTCTTTTTAATAATCAATTTGGTCTAAAGAACAAAAGAATCTCTGTACTATTTTTATGGTACAGAACACCCTGAAACGGTTTGCCGCAGATTATACAGAAGAACTTTATTGCACGACAAATGCACATGGTACATTGTATGGCAAACTATATAAAGAGAGTAAAAACAATAAAATGTTGAATAAGACCTAATGTCGAATAAAACCTAACATATCTATATCATAATCATTCAAATAATAAGGGATATCACAAGTCGTTGATAAAGTGTTACAATCAAGTGGGCTAATCACAAGTTTCGGTATTTTTTCTAATAGCAAATCATTCCTTTATATATCTACCTATTTTTGCATTGTGGGGACCGTTACATGTAAAGATATATTCAAATACAGATGCGTCGTCACCCGTGTTAGCCCCCCCCCCACGTTATTTGAGTTTGTACTGTTACTGGAAAAAAAAACGTTCAAGAAATTCTTACTGTGTTGAAAGTGTCACGACAGCGCCGCAAAATATAATAAGAGAAGATGTTATAAAGGAAAGAATCAGAACAGGGCGACTACTGCTCTTTGTTTCTTGTGTTCTTTGTGTCCTAACATTTGTATTTCTACAGTTAGTATATTCCAAATCTAGGCATCTCGTTTTTCGGCCCTTCGTGTTTTTATTGCGCGCTTGCCTTAAATTTAAGGTAATTAGATTTAAGGTCTCCAGTGGACATCATCCATAGCAATTACTTGGTGTGGCCGTAGAAAATAACCTGACATATGTCCAACCTATCCTCCCCCTGCTGAAGTTATAGTACAATCCCTCAATATGACGTAATTTGATCCCATCCCATTAAGGCTATACTAGTATCCAGCTGTCGGCTGTCTCCAAGCAGATGTAGGTGGGGGATTTCTAAACACAAAAGGTCCTATTACGGGGACATAACGACCTCCACGACTCTCATCTTTGAACTCAATCTTGGAGACCACCACAGTAACATGCCTATCAAATTTCATTAACTTCCATCCACACATACAAAAGTTATCCTGCTCACAAGAAAAATTAACAAAATGCCCCCTGTAGTCACAACGAAACCCCCCACGAAGCTCAGTAACGAACTTAACCTTGGTCCCGACAATAGTAAGCACCACATCGAGAATTATAATCAACATTTTACAAATACTTGAGTTATCTTGCTAACAAGCCACAAACACAAAAGGTGCACTAACGTGACGCACGGACCCCCCACGAAGCCGAAACTTGTACTTGAATTTGGCCTCAACAGAGGTAATCTGCCTGCCAAAAATCATGGACGTCGAATCATGCCTTCCAGAGTTATATCGCAAAATCCGCAGTTCCCCACACTCCGGCGAGACAATTTCATAGTCCTTCTGACGAAGACAATGACAGCACACCTACAGATTTACCCACTGACATGTGACCATGACTCATGTGGAAACTGAAAGTACATGATGCAATAGGTCAGCCTTCACAGCCAAGACCTCATAGGCAATGATGCAACTTACAGACTGAGTTTAACTGTGAGTTAACAAGCCTCCAAACAACACGATTCAATAAAAGTGATGAATCAATCATTCTGATTGCTTGTTATCTAATACTAGATATAAATAGAATGGATCACAAGTAGGACTTATGTCCTTGAATTTTTCTGAGAATTTGGTGAAGATACGTTATAATATTATAATCATGTCTTTTTTATCAACCATAGGGGGTCTTATTATCACCTGGGGAAGTCCTTGAGTCATGTGACAGTGTGTTTTTCAATCATTTACATGTAATAATGTTTAATACTACACTACCAGATTTGTTATTTTAGCCAACTTTCTCTGTTTCTCTGTACAAAGTGCAATGTTTCACCAAAATGCAGAGATTCCTCCTCAAAACATCCAGTCAGGATGGAGAAATGAGTCCCAGCAACATGTTGTACTCTTGTCAGGTGTCTTGGCTATCATTATTGTGTTGGCCATTCAACAGGTTCATACTTGGCTACAAAGGGTAAGTGGAAAGAACATTTTTATGAGTGTAAGCAACAAATCAAAGTAAATTTCATAAAGGATTTTAATTATTATTTCAAATGCTGAGGTACCAAATGCTGTTGGGCTTTGAATTGATTACTATATAGTGTTATAATTACATTTACAAATGTACATAGGACAGATAGCAGTGAAAAAATTATAATGATGTGGTGATATTTGTATCTTGTGCAAGAATTGTAAAAAAAGGAAGTCCAATACAAAAGGAAAAGAGAGAACTCAAACTGATTAAAAAGGACATTAAAAAGACATAGTGTGGCCTAGCCTCGGAAAATTTCCTAATAGTCTGAGAGTAAACTTTGAAAAGGAGTTGGTGCATGATCAAATTTGTGTCTAATTGCACAGGCCTGGAATTGTTTAAAGAATGATGAATACATTGTACTATTACATTTAGCACAAAATTTTAGCTTTAAATACGACATTAAGAACCTTCTTAGATTGTATGTACCAGTATTTCCAGAGTCAAATTCTAATTCAGAAACTTTTTTCTATTTTTAGTTACACATTACTCCAAACACCCAAGCTGAAACAGTAAATAAAACAACTGTTCAAGGTGATGGCAACATCAGTGTCAATGCAGGAAAGAACAGCACAATTGTGATCAATACAAGTCCACCAGTCTCTGAAGACAAGCATCACAGTTTGAGGGGCAAGTCTGGTGACCAACAGCCATCAAAACAACTGCAGTTCTGGAGTGAAGACGAACAGAGCGCTGTGCCACGACCAGTCTGTAAATCTCTCAGGCTGAACACTAAAACACAAGCAGCCTGTCGTAAGTACATTGACAACCTGGCCCAGCTGTCTGCACAAGGAAAGATACAGAAATGCCGCCGCACCATTGCCAAGCTGCTGAAGGCAAAGACAGATCCAGACTCCCAAGTGTCCCTCCGCCATGCCGCAACTCTGAACGCCATCAACGAAGGAGATTTTAAGAAGGCAAACCATCTACTTGGAGAGGTTGAAATCCTCCTTCCAGATGTTAGAAATGAGGCTGAACACAGACTTCGTTGGTACCACCAGAAGTCGTTAATAAAGCTTCGAGAGGGGAAGCATGCCGCAGGGATCTTGCTGACCAATGAAGCACTCTTCCTTCTCGACACTGTGACCCCGGGATGTATCTCAGCCTGGCTGCTGATCAACCATGCCTGGTTCCTCACCAAGATCGCAGTAGATGAGGATGACGCTGATGATAGGAAATCCCTCATGAAACAGGCTGAAAAGTTCTACCAGCAAGCCATTGAGCATGCGGATAGAGAGTACCCCAGGCAGATGCCCAATTTCCCCCAGTTTGCTTACATTGGCCTTGCTCTCCTGTATCTTGGATGCTGGCAGTCAGTGAACAATTCTAGGCTTGGAATCTCCACTGATGTGCCACTGGAAGACATCAAGAAAGCGAAGGATGTGATTGCAGCAGTGGACAAGGAAGGACCTGTGTGTAACGTGTCCAAGTTCCTATTGACGATTGCTAAAGCCTGTCTCCAGTACAGGCTGAGTAACCACCAAGAGGCCTATGACTTAGCAAATGAAGCCAAGAACTTTGCCACTGAACACTCCTTTTCTAGGTTTGTTGACTTTGCAGACAGCATTGTGCAGTATTTGCAAAATTATGTACTGAGAGGTATGGTATAAAAAAATCAATATGTAGACAATGTAAATACTATTATCCTTACTAGGACTGCTGATAAGAAATTCTTATGATATTGAAAAGCACTGAAAAGACAGGCAGACTGCCCCTATGGCCTGCAGTTATACGGGACTGAGTGAGTGACGGAAAAGAGGTACCAGACTGAGTAGTCATTCTCTTACATGTATATTCACTGTTCTTTTTCTTCTATAAATGGGTCCCATAATAATTGTTGTGGTATAGACTTAGGATATACATTTTATGGCTAGAGGGTTTGTTCAGAACTAATAATAGTCCAGACCTACAATGTATATTTATGCACAATTCAATGCAACTTCAGATTTCAGACTGCTGGCTCCATGCCAGGTTTTACAAACTTCAAGTTGTCTGACCTTTGATCTTGTGTCATGTGACCTGTCATTCTCCTGTCATGTAGCCTGTCACAACCTGCTTTGTGCAAGTCTGATTAAATAAATACAATAAACTGTGACACCTGCAGTGAGCCACATAAAATGAGACTTTGTTAACTTCTGTATTACAGAGGTTTACAACCAAAGTTGAGGTGTTTTTTCCTAGTTACAGGTTATATTACACTGAATAATGAATGCTTAAATTCTAACTTAGGGGGCCTTTTTTACATGCGTAGTGCATGATGTAAGGGGAATCCCCTTATTGGGGATATAGTGTTTTTAAAGGTCCAGGGGAATAACATGTAAACAGAATTACAGCACCAGACCTGCTATGCGGTACAGGGTGTTGCTTGCTGAGTATAGTGATACCTTACTGTCTCAAATCTCTAATGAGGACCAGCTTATTGCTTTAAAGGACTAGTGACAGACTGTGGTGGCAGTAATACCAGCTGATTCAGATTTGATGATTATACAGCATAGATCACAGGTATGTAAACACTACTTGCACTGCTTTGTAGAAGTAAGGTCAGCCTTTTTGAGGAATACTGCGTTACTGGTACCATATTTGCTACAACGAGTAAGGTTATCTTAAAGTTTATTCTGGACATTTGTATAATGCGTACTTTATTGTCTAGTAATCAGCTGGTAGTAATAGTGACCTACGAGTCCAAAGATTAAGATTCAAGCACCTGTTGGTCGCAAACAAAACACTGAAGCAGACTTTTAGCTGCGCAATTAGGGGAGTCCCCTTTGTACATCGTACAAACATGTTTTTTAAATGCATGTGTACAGAGGAAGCGTAGATGTGACCTGCAATCCTTGGTGTGACATGTTTGAGAAATTAGAAACCTCATTAAATGTTGCAAAATACCCATGCAAAATGAAAAGACTGTGTGTATGTTTTCAAGCATGATGTCATTTTTGAAAAAAAAGAAAAGAACAAGAACAATACATATTGACAATGTCAAAAATGATCAGAAATATGACAAAAGCACTCATCATAAAGGAAATCTGATTATGCTTTACCATGTAACATGTCGCAGTTTACTTTAGAATCAGGCCTAAAATGGGTATTTTTCATTTTGCAAGTCTATTGTTTACAACAGTACCATATTTTTATTGCAGCACCACAGGGACTTCCTGGTAACCAAGAACCTTTGATCGTAAACAGTCTGCATTCCACCTAAGTGAAACATGATACTGGACCTTTCTGCAGCTGTTTTTGCAGATTTGCCAACATCCCCAATGCCGATCATCTGTTTGTACATCATTGTGATTATAATTCCTATAATACTTGTCAATGTGAAACTTGGTCGAGCAGATCAGGTAAGTAAAATGTGTGTGTGCTACAAAATGTATGTATCCTGGTAATACATGACTTGTACAGTACAACATAGTACATTGGGCAAAACTACAATTTATTATCCTCTATAGAATGTAATACTACTCATATTACTCAGTTGTCATGCCATTGGGCCAGTTTATGTCTATTTCTACTCAGACCTGATAATGAAAGGGTAAAAAAGTGGATATAAGATCTGAAAAAGATGATTGTAATAATACGGTAGCTTGTGATCACAAAAATGGCTGCATATACCAAAATGAATTTCCGTACATACATCATTATACTAGATATATGACCCCTGTTAAACAGAGCCTTATTAAGTCCTTAAATTTTCCTTTCAGATTTCTCAGAATATCCCAACTGAAACCATTAAGAACATAACAACTACTCAAGGGGATGGCAACATAACTGTCAATACCGGCAGTCGTAGTACAGTCAACATTACATACTTTCACGATGTATCAGAAGAGCATACACACCACAAGCCATCTCAAACTTCTGAACCACACCATGTACAACTTGAGGAGAGCAGAGCACTTGTCCCAGTTGACAGACTGAGTGTGCCCAAACCTGTTGGTAGACCCCAAAGGCAGAACAAAAACTGTTCTCACTACATTGAATTTGCAACGGAGATGTCTGCAGAGGGAAAGACACCAGAATGTATCAGAATCATTGATGAGCTGATGAAGATAAAGACAGATCCGGACTCTCAAGTGTCACTTCGCCAAGCTGCAAGTCTTGTTGCCATTTACCAGGGAGATTTTGAGAAGGCAAGCCGTCTTCTGTGTGGGGCTGAGGTATTCCTCTCAGAGGAAGTACCTGTACATGAGGGAGAGCACATTCTTTGGGGGAGCCATCTTACAGCTCTAGCACAGCTACGGGCAGGGGATCTTGAAGGGGGGATTGTCTTGGCAGAGGACGCACTCGAAATTGCCCAGTCAGACACAGTCGCATCTGGTTGTATCACTGCATATCCACTCCTTAACCATGCCTGGTTTGTGACTGAGATCGCTGCAGGTCAAGATAATGATGACATTAGGTGTCGTCTTCTGAAGAGAGCAGAGAAAGAATACCAGCATGCCATTGAGCATGCAAAATGTGAGCATCCCAAACACATGCTCCACTCAAAGTCACGAGTGCCACTATTTGCAAAAATTGGTCTCGCTCTTCTGTACCTTGGCTGTAGGGTATCAGTCGACAACTTCAGGTTGGGAGTCTCTATTATCTCTTTGGATGACATGAAGAAGGCGAAGAGCGTGATTGATGCACTGGACAAAGAAGAGTCTCTTTGTAATTCTGCTAAGTGTCGTTTAATGATGGTCAAAACTTTCTTTCAGTACAGGTTGGGTACTTACCAACAGGCCTATGACTTGGCTCAGGAAGCCAAAGCCTTTGCCACTGAGCATTCTCTTGGAAGGTATGCTAAGTTTGCAGAAGGCATCGCTAAGTATTTAAAGAAATATGTTTAAGGTAGGATAGCAGTGTGATGTGCAAGTCAACGTGAGCCAGGCTTTCTATGGCTTTCATGAACTCTATGGTTTCAAGCAATTCATTCCATCTGTTTAGCTTCACCTACATGCATGTATGCATGTAGAAGGTGCCACTTTTGGGTGGGTGAGTAGATTTCAATTATACTTTCACAATTTTACTTTTACTGTTGCAAAGATTACGGTAATGTTTAAGACGAATGACAACTGATGCAAAGTCTTAGATGTTTTACATCTAAAATATTTGCATTACGTCTGTTATGGTAGGATGAATTTGGATGCTATCTAATTAATCTATTATGCATCCTTGTAATAGAAGAAACTTCTAAATAGTTTAAAAGCATTTGCTAGTCTGAGATCCAAATACATAGTTTACTGTATTCCATATTGTACATGAGGTCAACATTTATTTTGGAAGATTGTATCTTATGTTATACATGTAGGTACAACTTTAGCATAGGTACACTTAGTTGACATGAAACCCAAATAACAGTAACAGTTCTTTATTGTGTATTTTACAGACATAGACTATCAATAAATTATTACAAGAAAATTAATGTACAAACTACCTTTTAAGTTCAATAATTATATATATATTCTGTTATAATATATATATTATATTATTATAGTTCAATTATTCAATTATATACTGCTGGGTATCTATTGTCTCTCCGATACAGGATTATCTACAGAAAATTTGTCCTATAGAAAGTTGACAAGATGAAATCTACATTTTGTATCCAGGAATTTTTGTGGATGAAGATTGTGCATGAGAGATTGTGGATATTAAGGAGATTGTTTGAAAATGTTCCTGTGTTCTTCAAGGTTTGGAAAAATTTACACAGAAAGGAGAAGAAGTAGCACATTATTAAGTATATTTAGCCTAGCATATGTACCCTATAAATTAGTATATACAGCATAGTATAATGCATATACAGTGTGTATTTTGTTGGGCCACACCGTCTTAATTTTATGGATGACATCCTCTGAAGACCCCAAAACTAGTGCGCGCGGGCGAATAAAAAAAAATTCCGGCGAAAAATAAAAATGCTACTAAACCACAAGAATACAAAGCTGGTATTGTGAAGTATGCGACACGCCGCCACATGCTGACGGAATTTACGAATCTACACTGTAAGTATATGTACTAAGTTCTTGAGTTGTGGAGCTTCGGTAGCCTGGGTGCCATCCTCCAGAGTTTATACCGGCTCCATAGTGTCACTAACTACCATGGACTACCCAGGCAGGCCTGGAGCCAGGACAGAGCCTCAAAGGACGTGATCTTTTTTTTTTTTTTTGAGAACAGGTGAAAATCAATGCGTGCGCGGATGTCATCCATAAAATTAAGACGGTGTGGCCTTATTTGTAAACAAAGATGTCAGGGACTTTCCAATATATGGGACTTCCCTAAAGTTCTAAGTTCCTAAATAGTAATGTACATTAATGTGATATATTATGTTTTTCAAGCCTGAGTGAGCTACGCAATGTGGCTAAAAAAGGTGAGAATTTACAAGTGAGGAAAAAGCATATAATATATTGAATTAAATTATACTTAAAAGTTCCACTGGTAGTGAGGATGTTGGCAATACTAAGTAGCTAACACGAAATCAGAGTCAAAAAAGACAACAAGGAGTGTCAGAAAAGAATATCTTGATAACAGAATGGTCATAGAAAAGAAAGCACATGTACATGTACTACATGTACATGTGCTGTACTATTAAGTCTAAGTATACCCATATAGCTTTACTGTAAATAATTTGCAGTCACCTGTGACTCACCACCTGGCATTTTCATTGTTGAATAAAATTTATGCTTTGTTTCAAAGCTGCTGTCAACAGAAACCACTGTGTATTGTTTGTTTTCCCTTGGAGACACCTGGCCCAATGACAAATTCTACAACTTTGTAGAGTTTGAACTATCCAACAGGAATCCGTGAATAATATCACAGAATAATATCACAGAAGTGAAAGTGAAACTACTTTTTTCCAGGGCTCACAGGAAGGGAAAACATAACTTGTGTGACACCTGGTGCAAACCAATGATATTTCTAATGCCATAAATGCTTCCTTTCATGTTTGGTTTGTTGGGTTTGACTGATTTGAATCTGGTTTGAAGGAAAGGTAACCACCTGTCTGTACGGGTGCCACATACTTGTTATGAGGTAAGAAAGGTCAAAGGTCATAGGGTTACACGATTTATAGGTAAAGCCAGGAACACTAACTAAAGGTGACATAAACCCACCCAAATTTGTTATCAATTCCCCCCAAACAACTGCAATTAATACAATGAACACATTACTCTTACAGTTCTGATGTATTTCTGTAGAAAGATCGTTCTTCTGAGGTGTAAACATAGTTAATGTTTCACCACGAACCCCCTGGAAAATATTGGCTCTATTCTGTTTTGCTATGGTAAATAATGACGCCAGGGACTTCCCCGTAACCAAAACAATTTAATTTCATTCCCTACAGTCTGCCGCTGCAGTGAGAAAACAACATGTTTCTGGAATTGTATATCACTTGGGCTGACTTTCCAGTGGTCCTACTGCTGTTTATTTTCTTGTATGTTGCTGTGCTTATACTGGGGGAACTAGCCCGCAGAGATCAGGTATGTAAACATGTACCTGATCATGTGCATGGTATTGTGTACATATGCATGTACCGGAGACGTGAGCCTCCCAGCGCCATGGAATTGTATGTGTTATGTTGTTATCCTCATATCGCAAAAAAAAATTGAGTTGGCATGGTTACATAATTTATACTTTTATATATATAATTTTTATATAAAAAAGGCATCTGTACCTGATACACAATATTCCGTTACCTTCACTTTCAGGAAAGTGAATGGGTACTGCAGAGTTTCCCAGCTGGAACCACCAATGTGACTGATATTCAAGGTGATGGCAACATTTCTGTCAATGCTGGTAGTTTTAGTACCGTCACCATTACATGTCCTCAAGTGGTGGAGAAACCGCTTCCACGCACTGCCAGGCTCAACAATCGCAGGCAGAAACTGTGCAGAAAGATGCTAGACCAACTGGGACGGCTGTCTGCAAACGGAGAGCTGCAGACATGTAAGAGAAGCATTGATAGGCTGATTCAGGCTACGTCAGATCCAGACTACCGTACCGCACTGTGGAACGCCGCTGCAATCAACTGCATCAATGGGGGGAAGATGAAAAGTGCACGCAAAGCCTTGCGCCATGTCACTGGTCTTCTGGACCAAACCGAGAACAGTGTCGAGCACAAACTTGGGCGAGATCATTACCTCTCACTCATCTATCTGAGGGAGAACAAGTACGACCAAGGTGTATGCCTGACAACGGGGGCGTTACAGCAAACAGAGCGGCTACAACCTGGCTGTATGTCGGCTTGGGTACTGATCAACCACGGCTGGTTCTACACCAAGATGGCTATACAGGAACAAGATCACTATGACCAGGCTGAACTGATTAGAAAAGCCATTGATTCATACATGAAGGCTATTGACTTCTCCCATGAAGAGTTCCCCGGCCAACTGCAAGACAACAAGTCCAGGATCCGCCAGTTCTCCCTGATTGGTCAGGTGTATCTGCTGCTGAGGTGTTGGCGCTCAGTAGATGGGAACTATTCCAAACTAGGGATGACAGACCAAATCTCTCAGAAAGACCTGGCAAAAGCAGAAGAGGTGCTCAGCTCACTGGAGAAGGGGGAGCCCCTGTGTGGAATATGTGAGGTCCTGTACAGGATTGCGAAGGCACATCTATATTATAGGAAGAAACAATACCAAGAAGGCCTGAAGGAAGCAAAAAGGGCAAAGGTCTTTGCAAAAGAGCGGTCGTTCATGCAATACCATGACTTTGCTGACAGCATTGTCAAGCATTTTGAAAGAACAGTTTAGAATGAGCACTCTACAAACAGAAGCATTCAACTTCGTGGAATTATTGAAAACACCCAACAGATTAATTTTGGACTTAATATTGCACTTTGGACAAATGTTTGTAGCCCTTTACAGCTCATACTTACATAGTTGATATTTTGTGGAAACCTTCCCTGGCACATAACGGACCATAATGACACCCAGCGGGGGTCGTCACACGTCATTGAAAATCAAGAAATCTGAAGATGTTTTTAAAAAATCTGAAGATTTTCTGGAAAATCTGAAGATTGTTTCAAAAAATCTGAAGATTATTTTCAAAAGTCTGGGAAAATCTGAAGATTTTTTCAAAGAATCTGAAGATTTTTTCAAAGAATCTGAAGATAGTTTCAAAGAATCTGAAGATCTTTTTGAAAAATCTGAAGATTGTTCTGAGATTGGTTTCAAACATTGTGATCTTGAAACTTATGTTGGAACTTCGTTTGATACTGATTATCATAGCATGTGTGAGTTTTGACTTAGGACAAATTGTATGATCCCCAAAAAGGCAATCTATCAAGATTGCACACACACACAGACAGACATATAGACACACTTTAGCACTGAACATCTCAATGATCGCAAGATTGTACTGAAACATCATGCTTGCAGTTTCAAGTTGAAGTTGCAACATAGGATGTACAGGAAAATGTGCATCAAGACACGATGCACCTCTGAACTCATCTGTAGCTGGTAGATACCCTTTGGCCGCCCTTCGGTGTCACACTAGCTTCTGTATCTGTATAGCTGGTATAACTGCCCTTTGGCGTAACACACCAGCTTCTGCCAGTACCTGTATAGCTGGTATAACTGCCCTTCAGCATAACACGGCAGCTTCTGTATCTGTATAGCCGGTATAACCACCCTTCGGAGTCACACACCAGCTTCTGTATCTGTATAGCCGGTATGACCGCCCTTCGGCATAACACACCAGCTTGGCAGGCACGTGGTGCAGCAGCAGCTGGCTATATCACACTGAACGACTTGTTACACCTAACCCTTGAACCTCTAACTCTAGACATTGTTTAAAGCTATCTAATGATAATGATAACCATGAGACTGTATGTGTACATGATTCAACTCGGTCTATAATCTGTGGTATTTACATTGTTATGTCACCTCCTTTCTTTGATTGACTGTACTTTGTATAGACAGAAAAGGTAGCATTCCTGCTGATGTCTCTACTCTTATCTTTAATCTCTCTACTGATGGATCCACCTATGACAAGGTTCCTTTGCCATCTCCTGTTACATATCTCCACCCCACTTTCTCTTTCCTTCCTCCTAGCGATGTGGCCTACCCCCTACGACAAGCGTCGTGGTGCCATGAAAGCCCAGGATGGGTATGGGGAGGAGTCCAGTACTACCCTCACTCCTAGCCTGTTCACTCTTTTCTGCAAGCACATTTGAGGCAAATTGACATGCAGCAAGTCCCTGTATCACCCCTTTGAAATTTTCCTTTCTCGTTTCGAGATACTCCGCAGATCATTGTGTGCAATAATGCATACAAACTCCACAGGTACTCCATTAACAGGGACCCTCAGTTTTTCCGTAACACCACATTTCTTGTTGACGGCTTCACTTGAAAGGACATATTGGGTCTTGGTAACTGTATGAACACTTACAAGACTTTCTATGACATAAAATCTATCAACTCAGAAGTCAAGGAACAGGCAACTTCAGGCTAATTAGAATCCAACAACAAGTCTCCTAAATGATATGTACCATCCATCCGTTGATTTTACTTGTAGTATTTTATATCCATGGTAAAAAAATTAAAACCAGCCTCGATAGTAATCTCTGAAGAAATACCAAACATCAATGATTTGATCAACTGACAAATCAAAGCAGAAATATCTTCACAGGATTATTTAGGATATACACATGTACTCTCCAAGCAGAGGTTGTGGGAGAATGATCGTTAGCTTTTTATACGTGTATATGGCCCTTTTTTTGTCGCTACCCCCAACTTGGGTTGCGCATGGACCCTCTCTGGCCAATTGGAAACTGCCTGATAATCTATTTTTGCGACCCTAGGATCTGCTTGGAGATTAAGCATGTACAATCCTGTCTCCTGTGTGGAGTCCTGGTGTTTTACAGTGTCAGCAAAGTTCATAGAGATGGTTGTTACAGCCTTTTAATTTAGCTGGGCGGAGCTGCTGGGAGGGGAACCTATTTATCAGCCCCACCCCATGTGGTGATAGCAGGACCACCAGTATTACAAAGTTGGGGAGGCATGGTTAATCTGGGCAAATCAAACACATGCCTACAAGGCACAGGGTGAGCTAGGGAAGGGTGCCATCAAACTGTAATTCTCAACACAAGAAATTGGACTTGCTCAAACTACCAAGTCTGATAAGCAAGTTGTGATTGTTATCCCAAGCTTGAGAGTATACCAAAAGGATTCAAGACTAATTGTAGTCCAGATAAGGTACTTCTGAACTGAAATATTGAGCAAACCTACAGGTTTATCTCCCATCCTACTTAACTTGTATTACTTGGCAGAGATAGCTCAAGAAGCGTGACCATGTTGTTTTTGGAAGGGTCTGTGGGAAATATCTTACACCTGTGCTTGAGTACAGCCACAGACACATATGTAGGGTGAGGGTGATGTTGTACGAGTACAGCTATTTTAGGATGATGTTTTCTTTAGCCTCTACCAAGCTGCGGGAGGTGGCTGGAAAGAGTAGAAATCGGCCAAATAGAGAGATAACATGCCAGGGGCGAACTGTTCTCTCAACAGACAAACTCCCTTGGCATGCTTATCTCTCTATTTCGCCGATTTCTACTCTTTCCAGTAGCCTCCCCAAGCCTGGTAGAGGCTAGTTTTCTTTGCAAAATCACCATGACTGTCTCAAGATCTCTCAAGTGTTACTCCAGCCAGTCCAATCATAAATTTGGCAATATTGAAACTCAATTTCCACATAGTGATTCAGGGGGGCCTGCAGGGGGGGGGGCGACGAACGGCTCTACGCTGAATTCAGAAACCTCTCGATTATGCTTTACAATAAATTCCAAGTGGCTACAACGCATTACGTAGAATTAAAACAGCGAATATGCTCTACGTAGAATTAAAACGGCTGATTTAATTACAGTCGACGGAAAAGGGCTTGCTGGCCCCCATTCAGATTAAACCTGGTCCAATCTCGTCACCTTTCATCAGACTTTTCAGTGTCAAATGATATATGAAACAAACGAAGCACTGAAGGATCAATAATAATATTTCAAGTACTTTCAAGTAAGTTCTGTGAAGTTTGTATCCTTATTTCTACAATGTAGTACTGTAGTTACAACCAAACTTTCTATGATTTTCTGGCAGATAATCTTTTCAACACATCAGTGTGGCTCACTGTCCCCAATTAACCACATGCCAGGCAGGGAGTCAGAGAGCCAGCCAGGGCCTGCCTGGGCTGGCACATTCCAGTCCCAAATTGAGGACTATACCATCTTCATGAAAGGGGTAGACAAAAAATAGTATCTTCTGGTCACCTTAAAAACATGACCAAATATCAACCAGATTTTCCATTATGGCTTTCTTTGTGACTGAAAGGCCCATTGGCATACCCGTATGTGTCAAAAGGCACAGTTTTGACTTTTTTGAATGGGGAGTTTACAGCAAGGATGCCCCAGGTTCTGGGTGCTGGGTGCACAGATGGTACACACATGTAGCTGGTCCTTCAGGCCCAGGGTTCAGGCCCAGTAAATGATGGGTTTGGTCCCAGCCAGGGCCCTGGTCTCAGCATCCAGTGGCTGATCAAGCCAATTCATGTTGTGCAAAATGGGACTAGGTATAGGTAAAATGTGGCATTGATAGTAGGCTCCTAATTTCCCCTAACCAGCTTGATTGGTACATGTCTTTTACTTGCACTTCGCAATTACATGTACTTAGTATTTTTCAGAAGAACACAACATTTGTAAATAACGAGAATTATGGCAAATGACTGAATACAAAGAAATCATAGTCAGGAACAAACTACAGTGTGTGGCAGTTTTTGAGGCCAGGTAGTTGACTAGAAGAGCTACCAGTAGAGGAATCATAGATAAGGCCAAAATGTATTACCAAGGAATTTTTATGGATGACATCAGCACACGATTTTGGAAAAAAGAAAAAAAATTGTTGACCTCTGACAGTGTTCAACATTGCCAGAAATGGGTGAAGATGTCTGTTACCATGCCCAGACCTGGATGGCAGATAAATGTGAAGAGAGGCTGAAAAGGCTGACACAGTCTACAGCCAAGCAAAGGTTGTGGGGGAATGATCATTGCATTTTTATATATGGCCGTTTTTTTTGTCCTGACCCCCCACCAAACCGTCGTTGGCCGCGGTTGGCCGCGGAGCTTCTCTGGCTAATGGATACTGCCTGGCCAATTTGATACTGTCTTTTTGCCACCGAGAGGAATCTGCTTGGAGATTAGACACTCCAGCTATGGCTATTATGAACTGGTGGCTAACACAGTAGGTGGCTAATTAATCACAGATCCAGTGCTGCTAGCATTTCCTCCCCTCTAGTTTATCAGATAGTTGGTGAGAATATTCAATTTTCAAGAAGATGATAATGAAAAATATTTAGGATGGGAAAGTGAAAGAATGAAACTGATTGAAAAGCTGCACATGTGGCCTAACATGTACATGTATGTTCCCAACTGTTACAAAACTGTATGATGTAACAGGCCAATCACTGCCTCGAAATCACTGTGAGTGCATGTGGCCCATACGTAGGTGCCCCAAAGACCACATCCCACATGTTACATTCCCATTATTATAGTGTAGCAAAAAGTGCCAGTTTTCTTCAAAGCTTTGTAGTAAAGAAAACTGAATTGGTTCCTAGGAAAGTCTGCCTAAGATGATACAACCCAATTGCAGTGTGAACTGTAAATGTACATAAAATGTTGGAATAAATTATTATATATCTATCCTTCTATCCTCCTAGCCCTGAGACATTTTGATGTCCAAAAGATAGGTTGTTTCTTGATTGAACTTACTTTTGCATGACCAAAGCCATA